ATGCCAGGGGTTGCCGGCTCTGGAATGCCACTGGTGCTGGCACGTGCTGGTGCCGGAGTGGCTGGCTCAGGCACACTTGCACGTCTGCTGGCAGGCACAGCTGGTGTTGCTGGTTCTGGTGGCCGCATGGCATGGTTTGGGTTTGGAGTGTGTGGAGCCTTTGACCCGTAGGGTCCAAATGAAGCCGAGGTTCCTGCACTTGGGACAGGTGTTGTTGGGGCTGCCCCACCATGGGGTCCGAAGCTTGCAGGAGTCGAAGGCGCCTTCTGCAGCAGCGCAGGAGTCATTGGCTCAGGTACATGCCGGATTTCGGAAACCTCTGCATCCCAGGTGGTGTGCGATGCTTCTTGTTCTGCACAATTTCCTGAAGAAGTCTCAATTGATCTTGACCAGTCAGCTCGGTCAGAAGACCAAGATTTTGACGAATTCTCGTTCGACTCTGACCAGGTGCCTTGCTTTGAAGCCCAAGGCTTGGATGAAGTGTAGTCTGACTTCCAGTCCCATCCCTTCGTCTTCCACGAGTTCCACCGCTTCGACTTCCAGTCCTGTTGGTCTTCCGTCTTTCTCAGCCTGAAGCGTGGTAACCAAGGATGATGCACATGTAAGCAAGAGTCAGGTCGAGGCCTTAGGTATGGCTGACACATGGGTAAACTATGTAACTCCAGGCCTGCTATCAATCCAGTCGATTGCTTTGTGCACAAGATCTTGTGCACTTTCAGAGATATGTTCCGAGTTGTCATTGGTCACGCCAGACCCAACAAAAACCAACCTTTGCAACTTCTGCTCTGCATCATGGCCATCATCGAAGAAGGCGCATGTCTTCGTCTCCTTCATGAGCTCCTTCAGCTGTTCCATGAACCACTTTGACTTTGGGGCCCGTTCATCGACCCAAAGGGTCAGGGCATCAGTGCGAGTTTCCAGGCTCGGCACCCTTGGGAATCTGCCTGGGCACCATGCTGGGGATGAACTCAAGTTATCAATTCGTTCTACCATCAAAAATACCAAAACACATCGCTCCCAAATGGATGCGGGGAACCATCACATTTGCCACGAAGGAAATATGCGTATTCCTTTGCGCGTTGCCTTTGGTGTGGATCTCCGGCTACCAGCAACCTCAAATGCTGCGAGGACAGCAAGCCGCTGCACCGTCTTCCTTGCTGCGAGGAGGCAGGTCAGCAACGCAAGTTGCATGGCAATCGGCCGCGCCAGACAGAATTTCCTGGGCGATGAGCGTATTCTCGGCTTATCATTATCTATTGACTGAACGCTTGAAGCATTACAGCAGCACATCCAAGTCAGAGCTCCGCTTTCAAAGCACTGGCGTTCTCCTGACCATGCGCGAGGGTGGAAGGACAAACGATCAAAGCAAAACAGTGGGATTCCTGAAATTCGAATGGCAAGCGCAGCTTGTCTAAGCCAAAGCTTACCTTGTCGAGCTCCTCCTCAGAGTCCCACAGCGCGTACACTGAATACACAAAATACTGTTTCCACTTTGCCGTCCTTTCCTGCGGGTCCTTCGGCAATACATATCCTGGGACCTGTCCTTGGTCCACACGACTGTAGGATTATGATTCCTTCTTGGCAGCATGAGTACGATTCAGTCGTTGCAATCTAGCCATGAAACCCAACCGCAATCAACGCGTGCATTCGAAGATCGCTCGATGAGTGCAAAGGTGTTGGCAAGGACTTTCTTCTGCGCGAGCTGATGCCCAAAAACGGCAAATTCACTGCCATCTCCTGCCTGGCTTGTCACCTACTGCTAAACAGGCTTGCGCAGGCACGAACTCTCGAAAATGAACCAGCAACATCTGTGATACCTGCATGCAAAAGGACTTGCTTCAGTACGATGTGTCAAGGTGGTTGAGAATTTGCAATCATCACAGTGTGCAATTTGTTCAGCTTGCCTCATACGCATTGGACACGAAGCTGGTGACTTCATCCAGCTCTCGCTTCTCCGCTTCAGCACCTCTCATGGGTGAGCATGCTCTAGCCTCGGGGTCGTGTGCAGACTTCAAGCAAGCTGCTCTTGATTTCTCTGAGGCGAACAATCACCGTCTTTGTTTGTCTCATCCTGTGAGCAACAAACGAGAACAGGACTCAAGCCGGATGGAAAGGAACTGAAGCACTTCGTGCGAACCAAGGGCAGCTTGCGGAGATGTTGTCTTTCCTTCCCGAGGAAAGCTCCGACTGCCTCGAGGCCATGGCGCAACAGAACCAATCGCCCTCTCAGCCCCACTGGTTCCAGGCAGGCCTGCTGTGGGATCTTTAGAACAGTGCAATCGCCGCTGAGTTTGCAAGGCAGGGCAGAGTTGGATTTCGGATCCATGCTTTGAAGGACCGTCCTGGCAGTCTTCGAACTGACACATTTCCAAAAGACCCGCTCCAAGCCTCAAGATCTCGGCAGCCAGCCATCTCTGGTCACGACTGCCCAGGACCTACGGAACACACAACCCCCTGCTTGTGCCTTGCCCGTGCGTGGAAGAACTATCAAATGCATCGGCTGGGCCCGCGGCTAACACACAAAAGCATGATGCATCCGCAACAGCAACAGGCCGACGGTAGATTTGCAGATCTTTGCATCCACTCACCTGTAGCACCTTCCAGCATTCGAGGATGCGGCAGCAGCAGCAGCAGCAGCAGCAGCAGCAGCAGCAGCACCAGTTCCAAGCAAGCGGCGTTGGCAATGATTTCAGCATAGGCACTTGCTACTCTAGGGTCGCGAGGCCTTGGCCCAAGAGGAAGATTGGAAGTATGTAAGGCAAAGACTGACATTTTCCAGTCTTCAGTCTCCACACCAAAAAATCAATGCGGCAATGTTAGGCTTGAGGACCCAGATCAAAGATGCAAGTAGGACATGACAGCATTACTTTGCGCAGGGACTGCTCGCGGCCAAGATTCTGTCGAAATCGGTTCATTGCAAGCGCTGTGCAGCCCAAACTAAACTCTTGCAAGCCATCGGCTCCTGCTATGTGGCGACATTGAACTCACGAAAGGCTAGCAGCATGATATGACATTTCCTTTCCTGGGCCACCTTCTGACTGGAATAAAATGTCGCCGCGGTCTCGCAGGGCATCAACTTGTGCAGCCATTAATCCAACGGCCTTTGTTGATCCAAGCCAGTTGCAGCAAGATCCAGCGAATGCTTCAGGACTACCTCAGGCAACTTATCCGCTTTCTGTTGCGCTGCCTCCTTGTCAGCTTCTGAGAGGATCTTGCTGACTGCCATTGCTCGATTCTGAGGCCTTGCCGGCGTTTCTATTCTGTCTGTCTGTCTCTGTCTGTCTGAGTGGAAGCTCCAAGCCACGTTGCCGTGGCAAATGGATGTTCTCATGGCTTTGGACATGGATGCCCTGAGCAATGCCCTTGAAACTTGAAAAGGTACGTTGCTATGGTCTGGCCTGGGCGTTTCTGTGGTTCAGTTATAGGCTTTCAGGGTACCAAGGACTGCGATTTGGTTTGCTTGTAATCAAGATCCAAACCGCTGCATGCGCGGCTGGGATTCAAACCTCTAAACTCCACTGCCTCAAACCCGAAAGAGCTTCAACTGTTAAACTCTACATGGCATTCTGTTTTAGGGTTTGAGACTTCTGAATGAGATGTGGGTGGGCGCCCGGATTTTCCAGCTGGGGCAGGCCCTGGTACCAGGCTCCTTCTGTGTGAAGACTTGGCCTTGTTAGCTAGGCAAAACGCTAAAGGGTGGGTGAGAGCCATTAGGCATCCATGAGACGTGGCTAACATTCCGAACAGCACCTAGCATGATCATCTCATCATCTTCGCCCGGAAGTTGGACCACTTTTCTGCACATGATCTCTCCAAGCATCAACGTGGCAGGAGCCATCCACACTGTTTTTGATGCCTTAAAGTCTCGTGCTCTTAATACACGACGAACAGCTTCAACCCTGTTGCTCACCCTAGCCACATGTTCGGCAGGACATCCCGCCTCCAAAAGTGTGCCATGGACATTTGATTTCATGGTATTGCACTTCCCCGTGAACAACAGTTTCAAGCTTCTGTACTTACACACGCCCACGGGTCAAGAACTCCGGGTACATGGGTTTACACCCTGTGGGATTCATGATAGCAGGGTCTGGTGCTTGCATGGGTCCATGGAGATCGGCTGCTACAGATACTACGGAAGGTAGCAGATTGGCAAGGATGAGATGGGGCCAAAGAGTCCCGAGCTGCCGCATCCCTGTGACTGCTGGCAGTTTTGAGATTATGCGCCCCGCTCCAATTTTTCTAAGGAGAAAGTCGGCTCATGCGGGTTAGCCTGGGCCTCATGCCAAAACTTGAAAGCTTCCCCGAACACAGCAATGTGGAAGGTGACAGCAGGAATGCGGTGCCTTCCATGGATGGAAACTCGAATTGCCGCCTGCAACTGGGTGCCGTCAACTTCCTTGATGCTGCCGTCCTTATGTGACTGAATGTGGGAGCTCTACCTTGCCGTTGGAGACTTACTTACTAAACTTGAGGGCAGACTGCTTTGTGCCACCGCGTAGCCCAGCACCACTTGATTTTAGTTTTCGTTCCTCCGGGCGATACTGCTTTCACCTGGGGTCGCTGTTTGCATTGGCCGAAGAATCGCTCGCAGCCAAGCCAGTGCCATCTCTATAGTGACTGCAGGGCACCCACACGACCACAGAACTTAAATTTGCGATAGTGGTCGAAGAGGATTCTGGGGATTGCACAAATGCTCTAAGTCAAGTCACGATGACAGGCTGGATGCGCTCGAGCCACCCTGGGGGCAGCTTCTGTAAAATCTGCATGTAACATGCCGCGTTTGCAGACTTGCTTCTGGATCCAGGTGCAGGAAAGCTGTCCTGTGGAGCACTTCTGCCAGTAAGGGAGACCAGCCATCTGACCACAAGCCAGAGCGGCTCGTCCTGCACTCCCAGCGCACAAATGCACAGGATGCTGTACTGCCAAGTGCTTATCTTGGCCTGCTACACCTCTCTCAAAGGTCCTTTGAGAAGGTATGTCTGCATGTTTCCGCATTTGCAGCATCCACGACTGCGATATCCACACCCCCCCTCCCCTTCTGCTTGTCTGCCATCTGCACGGAAAGGCACACTCCTGCTCCCTCCCTGTCTCTCATGATCTTCTACAAACTCCTTTTCGGCAAGCCACAACTTCAATCTGATCTGCAGCTTTAACAGCAGGCGCATTTCTGATTCAAGCAGTTGCTGTCCTTTCAATTCCTCAGTTGTGATGAGGACGCTCAACCTTGGCTCGTTCTGCAGCAATACCGAAAGCTTTCTCTGCAAACACCAATGCTTTCGGACCCTGACAGACCAGAGAGGTACCCTAACAAAACAGGATGCTGACCAGAGTAATCAATTGAAAGACATCTACGGCAGACTCTGCACTTTTGAGGCTAGTTTGACACGTCTGAACCGTGCACACGCTGCACCCCTCAAGTGCATGCAATCGCTGCTGCAAAAGGTCCCTGAAACAGAGCCCCCAAATTTGAAGGACCTTCATTATGCACCTGTCTTATTGGTTGGATGGTCAAGTAACTCTTCCTCCATTGCCTGCCTTCCTTCCCATGTCTCGGCCCACTCTGGCAATACAAGCACAGTTGTGACATCCTCCGCGCGCGCGATGCCTGGACATGGAAGGCAAGGTGGTGAAAGTGCTCTTTTAACTTCTCTCAATACCTTCCAGAACATCGCAGGCACATCGCAGGCACGTGCAAGTCAAAAGCAAAGTCCACTGCTGGAACCTTTGAGTGTGTGTGGGATGGTCAGAGACCAAGAAACGTTGGGGGCGGTTTTAGTGCCCACAGGCAGTTGAGAAATGTGAGGCAGCACCGTTGTGGTATGCAGGCCCTGTAAGAATGCCTTAGCGTGGCCGCTTCAGCTGGACACTACAAATGTCAGGGCAACTGCATCGAAACGCTGCAGCTCACCTGCAGCTGCTGCTGCTGCTGCTGCTGCTTTGTCGGCCGGGCCGTAGGAGCTTCGTCAAACTCGTAAGCAGCGCGGGGCCCGAGGCCTAAGCACTCGCTATGCTGAACCGTCTGCAGCGCGGCCAACGAACCCGCTAAGCAGCAACTCGCGCAGCGCACCCCCGCACAACACCGCACCAACGACGGCGCACATGCAAGAACATGCCTCTCCAATGTTGTTGAACTCTTTCTTTGTGTTCCCGCAATTTTCGAGAGGAGCCGCCACCGAGTCATAGCTACCCAAGCCTTGCTGCCGGAACCGGTTTCTGCAAAGACACGCCTCAATGCAGACGCTCAAGCACTGGGTCAGGCAGAGTCCCAGAAGCCTGGCGTGATTGTGACGATTGCCTTTGCGGCCAGTCCTCCGACCCGTAGGCGACACGACAACTCTTATAAATGTAAAACAACTTGTTCAAATTCACACCACTGCCGCAACTGCAAAATCGGCTATGCTGGCGCATGGCTGCTTCCCATCTGTTCTGTGGCTTATGCTGCAAATTCCCTTTCGGGCCGGCGCTCGAATCCCCGACACTGCATGATTGGACCTCTGCTTCTGCAATGGCCCCTCGCCGGCCCGTGCAAAAACAGGGTCTCAAAAACACGCGCTTCTTCACGCGAGACTTCACCAGACAGGGCTGTGCAAGCCTCCAGCCCCCAGCCCCCCGGCCCCCAAAAGCATCATGAGGACTGTTGCGGCCTGAAAACTGCTCACCTAACACATCCGGGCTGCGGGGCAACAAAATTCCAGGCTTAAGTGAACATCGGAGGCTTTCAAATTGGAGAAGTGGAGCGCGAATGCTGATGATGCCGGCCCAGGGCAGCATTCAGCATCATTGGGGTCTGTTGATCCTTCTCCAGGTTTCTAGTCTGTCCGTGCGTGCCTGGAGCTGCCACTCACCGGGGATATCTCATGATTTCTTTTGTTTTCCAGTGTTCTTTTGGCCTTGATGTTTTTGGATATGAAAGTTTGAGGAGTTTGCCGGTCTATGATGCTTCAATGCTGAAGGGTCGGGGGCTGCGTCCCCCCTGTCCCACAGTCTTGCAGTGGAGTTTTAATTTTGGTCCTTTTGTGTATGCTAACTGCACTGCCCGCACTTGACACAGCCATGAACAAATCTTGATGGCTGTATGGTGCTTCGCAAAAAGGGGTCGTAAGCGGGGCCACATATGTCTAGTTTCACTTGCAAGGCACACTGGCTGTAGGAAAGGTATGCCAGATTCTAATATTTCGTCGTCGCCGGCTGGCGAAAGAAAGCCTGCCAGCTGACTACAAACATGCGCTTTTGCAGGGTGTTTGCATGCTACACTGCCGTACTTGAAGTGCACTTGAGAGCATCTGCTTCGCGGGCCCCCGAAGTCTTAGTCGTACAACTGATGTTTGGCTCAGTCCTGCTCTGTTGCATCAACCCGGTACAAGCAAGCCAGGCTCAGTCGATCGCATGTGCAAAAGCGGAGCCAGGGAACACTACAGGAAGGTTGAATGCTTGCCAGTTCCTCTGATGTTCCATCATGACGACTCTCCCGGCAGAGGATCGTCCGCAGTGCCTCTTTCAACTCTCATTGCACCTCTGTTGGTCAGCTGGGGTGGGATACACGGACATCCTCCTCTGCCATCGTGTTTCAAACTTCAGGAAACGCATTCGCTTCCCTATGCCGTATGCCTGCTTGAGCATCGTTTCCTTGCATTTTCTTTGAAGTCTAGTGATATAGAGTGTTGCGGCCAGGGTCCGAGGAAATGATTTGACTTCTTCACAAAGAAAACATACTGGCAGAGCTCGGTTGATCACCTCATGCATCAGAAAATGCAGCATGTGCCGTCCTTGTGAAAGGCTCTTGCCCAGGATGGCGTGCACTTGCTGGTTGGCCTTTCTCCGTATGTCTCGCGGGCCTGCTATAAGGTGGTTTGCAGGAGTACAAGCGTCAAGGATGCAGGCCTGATGAAGGCACCATAAGGTCTTGCTCAACACCAGCAGTCCTGCCTTTGATCTCCAATGTGGTCGCCAGCAGCTCAAATCGTGCTCCAGAGGCTTTTGCCAGCACAGGCAACCTCTCCGCCAGCGTCTTTGCATCCTCAAGCGTGACCTGTCTCAGCCGTCTGTGGGATGGAGAGACTTGTCAGCCATGCTCATGCTGCCGCGGTGCTTCGAGGGTGTCACTTGCTGCGTCAATTTCTTCAGGATCATCGACAGGCGCAATTGCCACGTTCGTCTCCCGGGCCTCCTGAGTCTTCTTAGATCACCTTTATACCATGCAAGAGTACGACAAACATGACAAATCGGAGGGCTGCACCACCTCAGAAGGTGGGCCAGCAGTTGCAGCAATTGGCTCTTCCACCTCCACCACATAATCTTCCTCGCCCACACCGTTCCAAAAGTCTGCTTCTTGCATTTCCTCATCTTGCTGTGCTTCGCTGGGCTGCAGAAGCTCTGTCAGTACATCATCTGCATCCATTTCTTGGCCTGCAATGCCATAGCATCAAGAACATCACATTTCCAATGCTTCTGAGACTTCAGCTCTGGCCTGCCGGTCTTTTGTTGCTGTCGTCATGGGCTTGATGGACTTGGGGCTTCACAACGCCATGAGCCGGTCTTTTGTCCGGCCGGTCCTTTGCTCAGGGCAGACTCTCACGGCGCACCCTGACAAGAGGTCAAGTCAAGTGTACCTGCTTGTCCTTTTTCTTTCGCTTGTGCTCATTTGCTTCCTCATCCTGGTTCTTCTTCTTGTGGTCTTTTTTGCTCTGCCTTGAGGCGTGGAACGGATACATTATGGCAAGGGCTGGACAAGTTCGGAACATAGGTCAAGAATCCGTTCGAGAAACCACCCATTGTGAACCAAGAGATCTAAGAGCGAGCACACGCAATTCAACAGGCACGCGACTTGTTCGACTTATCTTTTTGCCTTAGATACAGCGTTGTCAGACTGGCTGAGTCTGACGGACTGGAAAGTTGATGTTTCTGAAGATGTGCATGCCGCAGATACTTCTTTGTTTTATCCTTGGCACGCTTTGCCTTCCCATCATCCATACCATCAAGTCGCGAACGAGACCGAGATGTATCTGCAGTGGATAAGCGCTTGCTGTGAAACATCTTGTATTGAAGGTCTAGGTGGTACGCGGGCAGCTTCTGCACCTTCCCAAACAAAGCTTTTACAAACCCTCCAGGCTATCAAACTTGAACCTGGTTCAGCAGCACCATCTAACTGCCAACTTGCATGCAGTGTCTGGCTTGTCTGACTTTGGACTCTGGCTGGTGCTGTGCAGATTGAAAGGATGGCGCCTGCGTTGCAAGGAATTCCTGACCTCGACAGACGGATGCTGCGCATGCTGGGCCTGCCAATCAGCATCAAGTTGCCGCACCCGATGCCTGCGGGAGGTCATCGGTGCAATCTTTACTTTCTTCTTTACTACAAAGTTGTGCACAACAAGCCAGCTCATAGCTCCTGCATCGCATGCTGTAAGACCCTCTACGTAAGCTTCGAGCTGGATGGCTGTCCAATCGACATGAGAGCTTCTCACCTGCAATTTCCGCGGCTGGTTTGCGCCCATACACTAACAAACGAATGCGCTTACAAACTTGCTGGTCTACGTTGGGCTTTTGAAATAGTCATTACCCTTAGAAGCAGGGATATGGGGTTTAGTAACTACTACTGCTTTTGAGGCATTATGATAGCACCAGTAGTAGGGGCATTTACATAAATTTGGCCACCGTAAGAATAACATTAACCCTATACGGAACCTTTCAACGCTGAACTGAACAAGCCCAGCCGGAAACGATTCCCACACCCAACCCGCACTTCGGGGAAACAGGCTAAGGTGACCCTACAACAACTAAGGAAACCCCCAACCTCATCCCTTAAGACTGAACATACCCTTGGATCTTCCCTGGAGCCATGGTCGCGTATGCGGAAGATCCTTTCTGCAAAGGGTCGACTTACTGGTGTCCATGGGCTGCTGACATAAAGCTCCTCACTAATCAGCGGCAAATTTAAAAGACCCCCGAGGCTACTGCTCTTTTGAGAACTCAAGGTTGTAGGGTTTTGCCACTTGCGTGGGCGAAGCAGCGCAAGGCTCAAGGCGCCATCCGGGAAGTGCGACAGGTCAGAAGTGTGCTCAAAAGATGCTCCCTGTTGGGTTCAAAGGGTTTCAGACTTACAGATGACCATCCGCTGCAAGCACACCTTAAAACCCAATGCCTAAACCCACAGGCCAAAAACCTTCATCGTAAATCCTCAAGGCCCAGGTGCCGCTTTTCTCAAATTCATCAAGTTCGAATAAAGTCGAACTATCCCCCCCGCTACACCCCCAAACTATCACCCGAAGAATCTGAAACGCGTGAGAAAAACTAGGGCAGGAAGCCGATTACAACTCATGCTTCTAGCCACTGGGTCCCGATCGCCATCTAGCACCTAGGGGTCACGGAAAGGTCTCAAGAACTAGGATCCCCAGTGTGCACTGCTCAAACTCTCCCGCAAAGAGCGTGAAAAAGAATGCCTCCAAGCAATCGAAGTCGGGCAGCTCCACTGCAGGGAAGTAATCGAGAACTAATGGCCTTAGCGCGTGCTGCACGAGAGTTTCAGCTAGGCGTGCTCATTAGATGTTGCTTGGCAGCACACCGTCCATCAGAGCGAGGGACAATCAACCAAAGCGAACACCAAAACTGCATCGCCCTGGCAACTTGCAAAGGGCCGCCATCCTTTTCACGCAACTTGCGTAAGCTTCCGCCGTTCAGGCTGTGGCTGCCATGTCTCTCGGCCGACCTTCAGTAACAAAATCAAAGAAATGCGTTGCTGCAAATTGCTCTGCAGGCTTTTCCTTAGAATCCTGCGATCCAGCTTTGGGCCCATGGCCAGCTTGGATAGCCACATCAAGGTTCTTGTTGTGTGCAACGCTGGATTTCACAGAACTTCAAGAAGTCACGAAACATAGCAATATGCACTGCACAACGTGCTGAGCTAAGCTTGAGCATATCTGGCTTTGACTACTTGCGGAATCACGGCATGGGCTTCAGATGGCTACAGCCACGGCACTTGCTGTGCAAGCATCATCTTGCACCTAATCAATTAGTACAGTTCCTGTGGGCTACAAAATACAGACGAAAGTCCACAACCTGAAGAGCGAAGGTTGCTGCCCTGTAAAACTTGTCGCGATGCGGGGCCTGAAATTCCTGGGAGGAGCTTGAGGCTTTGCTTCTCGTGCAATCTCCAGCTCTGCACTCCATCCCTGACTTTGGTTTGTCGAGACATGTCCGTGGCTTGTTGAGGGTCTTCCGAACGACGTTAGTTTACGAAAACCCAATTCACGTCAATCGGTTCTTCATTCATGGCCATCCAAATTTGTAGCCTGAGTGCGTACTATGAGCTGGTGGATTTCTTGCTCCGGAAGGCAACAGTTTTCATTGTCCGTGAAAATGCTGTGCCAAAAAATTGCTTGCACCTTGTTTTTTGCTGGGTGGCACTGGTGGAATTCCAGCTGTCTTCAGCAGGCACTGGCCCGCCACCCTGTTCAGGTGGGACGCGTCCAACCTTGAGCTCATGTTTGCAATACATTCAAAATTGCCAGCGATGGGTCCAGCTTTCGGCTCAAGCGATTGGGAACAGCAGGCTGCAGTAGCAATACTACTAGCACCTGTCCAAGTAGTAGCTTTAGTCTTGGCACAACAAGTAGTGGTACATCCTGCTGCCTGCTTCTGCCGCCACACTGCTGCAACAACCTCTACTTCTACTGCCTCTTCTATGCCCGCGACGAACACTACCACCATCTCTACCACTCCCCAGCACAAAATGCCCCTACTCCCCGAACGAAGCTGAATTTGCCACATTTGTATACGGACCATACAGTCTCGGCACAGGAGCTGCCACGTTGACACATGAATCTATCCAAGCTCAGTTGGCTCTTTTTTGGTCCATGCAACTCCCCGCTGTCACTTTGCAAAAAAGGTTTCAATGAGGCCAGAAGGCATCTGAGCTCTTCAGGCAGTCGGGCCTTCACGAAGAAAGGCTTTCCTGAAAGGTCTCGGAGCCTTATTCTTCGGCAGTGAAGAAAAAGCCGCTGGTCAGAAAGCATGGGTGACTGTCTGCCATACTTGGTGTCGCCCACAATGGGGCAATTCAAATGCGCCATGTGAACTCTAATCTGGTGAGTTCGGCCTGTGACAGGCTTCACGGACAATAGCATCAGCTCGTGCTTTGAACCTTTTGAGAAGGTGTAGCGAGCAAGAACCCGATACTTTGTAAGTGCCTCCCGGCCTGTTTCAGAGACCTGTGTCCTCTTGGTCTGGTCGTCGAGGATCTGATCAACTTGCAGTGGGACATTCACCACACCAATGTCATTGACAGTGCCAAGTGAAGGGCCCTCACACAGGCAAATGTAGGTTTTTTGAACAAGACGGCTTGCAAATTGTGATTGCAGCCAATTGGCGGCTAAAGAACCTGCAGGTCCCAAGGCCAGCGGCAACACACCAGAGGTTGGCCGGTCTAGACGGGACACAATCGTGCAGACTTCATTGCTTCGGGCTCCTGGCCATATTGCACGCGAGAGTTGCTCCACAAAGTCTTCTGTCGAAACATCATCAGGCTTCATGGCTGCCATGACTCCGTGCCCAGCACCAAGTATTGTCGGGTGGCCGGTGACAGAAGGCAATGCAGTCAACCTTTCAATACTTTTAATGCTGCTGATGCTGTTACTACCTGTCTCAGAATGAAGTCTCCAGACCTCACGCATGGTTTCCAACAGGTCCATTGCACTTTTGGCTCCCATGATTTTACGAACCGTGTTTGCCGCAGAGCCCACGTGCAAAGCGTCAGGAACCATCTGAAGGGCCATCAAGTTCTTGAGAAAGGCCAAAGCTGCTTCCCAAGCACCGCTTGCCTCGCAGGCGCTCAGGGCAATACCAAATGTATCTGCAGTGGGAAGCTGGTCCAAGTCACCCATCAAATCCAGCAACGCGGTGCACATCTGCCAGTGTGCAAAATTTGCAGTTGCGCTGAGGGCACTTGTAAAACTGATTTCAGAGGGAGGTATCCTGCTCTGCTTCATGCAGGTAAGAAGCACAAGCGCCATTTCCCAGTTTCCACCTTCACCGCATGCACTCATGGCACTGTTATAAGAAATCTCATCCAACCTTAATTCCTGCCCCACGATGTCCTTCAACAATAGCAAGGACTGTTGCCATGCACTGGCTCTCCCGCATGCATTCATAGCTGCATTGCAACTGACAAGCTGTCGTTCAGGCATGCAGCTCAGGAGCGACAGGGCTGCTTTCCACTGAGCCCCTGTTGCGCAAGCACTGATGGCACCATTAAAAGCCGCTGAGGCCCCGCGCAGTGACTCCCTCACCATCTTCCCCAGAATTAGCACTGCCAGATCCCACTTGTCACCCCTATCACAAGCCATTATCACAGTGCTATAGACGAAATTGTCTGCAAGTACCGCCTCACTCACCATGCCTCTAAAC